ATATATATATATATATATATATATATATATATATATTGTCGCCTAATAATTACAGCATTCAGCATTTTGATTATAATAAACTGCAATAATATACCATAGATCAGTACCTGTTATTATAATTTTCTTATAGTTTGATTACTGAACAGAGGAGTTGTAATTGAACCAAAAAAAAAGAATCTGCATTTGTCATTTACCTTTTTCTTTTTTTAACCACCAACCCCCTCCCCTCCTCCTCCTCCTCCTCCTCAACTTATTATTTCTTCCAGAATGTCAACCAATTTCAAAAAAAAAAAATGATTCAACCTTTTTGAAGTATAGCCTTTAGAACATGCGCATAACCACCATCATTTTCGCTTTTTCCCTCTCCTCTCATACTTACCATTAAACACGAAAAAAAAAACAACCTGAAAAGTTTCTGTCAACTTTCTCACTTAATTTAACCGTCTTTTTATTATTGCTGCTTATATCCAATGTCAGTTTTTGAAACAATTTCCAACATCTTTGAACAGTTGAAACATAGAAGAAAAATTTTTCCTATTTTTATTATTTTTCTTTAAAAGTGAAACAAAATAAAGACCAATCAACCGTTTTTTTTTTGAACATTATAATTCTTTCCCTGTTCTAATTGTTTCCATCATTCTGTACCTTTGATTTTCTCTTCTCCTCCTTCTTCACCCTTTTTTTTTTTTCATTTTTTTTGCTGTTTGCCTATTGCGTGCAATGAACCGATTGCATACCAAAAAGATTTATTCAAGTTAAAAATATATTTAAAAAAAAAGATAAAATAAACAAAAGCATCTCATCAATACAAAATTGTACTTATCACTTTCCTTTTTTTTTTCCACTGCATATTTATTAATTCCTTATCATATAAAATTACAGACTACCTCCGTCTGTACAACAATATTAAAAAACAAAATTCCTTTGTTTTTCACTTTACAGGTAGATTAAAGTGTTCTTAATTTGCATTCATTTGAGTGGTAACCCATCGACTGTCTTACACTAGTTTCAAAAACGAAATATCCTAAATAGTTGCTATAGCTTAGTGTTTAAGCTGGTGTGTTGCTTGTTGAAAGTACCATTATTGTTTTTATTGT